GGCCTATATGCTTTTATTATGTCCAGTTGATTGCTGCATGCTGCCTTATGTCAGTTTTGCCACCATGCCCAATAGCGAATCCACACTGGCACAAAGTACAAAAGACTTTACCAGAATCACCGTTGGCAGGTTTTACCCAGTTGTATTTTTCTTCCCATTGACATTTGTATCTATACAGTCTCTTCGTTTTTTTCTGTTTAGGTCCAGACCGTCTCAAGTTCCCACTGTGTATAACAAGACAGACAGGCTGCTGCATCTGGACCCAATGGAGCTTTCTCCAGGCGGGTGGCTCCATCCCTAGATACAGAGTTGCAGAAACTGAGCCTGGAGATGATGAGTTGGGGTATTCACCCAATTCCAGTGTATAAAATTACATTTGGTCCCCCCTAAATCCACCTCCCTCCCCGCAGTTCCTATTGGATAACAATGTTCCAGTTCACATCCCGTCCTAAACTGTTGTGTAACATTGCTGCCGAACAGTTGCTACTCCCACAGAGCTGGCTGCATTTTGGAGGGAAGCAAAGTACTTCCTGGGACAAGCCCCATTGTGGCCAATGAGAGTTTTGGCTGAGTGAGGGATGCAGAAGTCAGGCTGGAGTTTGAAGGAAGCTTGGGATCCTATGGAATAACAGGCACTGGGCATAAGTGGGATTTAGGAAAGGAAAAGGATGGGCAGAGACACTGAGGTGTGTGGTGAAGAGGCAGGGCTCGTCTGTCGTGAATATAAAGAGGATTCTGTTTTGGGGCTCCTGGACACAGACAGAGCCTGTGGTTCCACCTGGCTCTCTAGCTCCCAGCCATGTCACTTCACTGGGGCTCCCTGGCCTGGTCAGTCATGGAAGGGACTGCACTGGGCATGTGTGAGAGCCACCCACATGTGCCCGGTTGCTGTATTTAGCTGTAGTGAGAGGATGACCATTAGAAGCACTGCCCCAAGAGACTGGGAGGAGGAGGAGGAGGGCGGCTTTCTGTCCCTTACCTCTGCTGAAGATGATACTCTCATGGGGGGTCTTGTTCTTGGTTTCAAGGTTGAAACAGTTCCAGCACTAGTCCCGGAACTGGCGCTGGCACTCATGGATGGCAATCTGGATGGCGGAGACCATGACATCAGGTTGTGCACATATACTTCCAACTGCTGGGTCACACCACCACTCAAATGTGGTCCACCCGCTCCTCTGTCGTGCCAGAATGGAAACAGAGGCCAGCTGCCCTCAACTTGAGCAACAGGTCCCAGAATGTGCCACAGCCAGGCTGCTCTGATCCAGGGAGCAGCACAGGCTGGGACCTGTCCATGCACCGCATGTCTAGGTGACGACAGAGCCTGCAGGCCACACTGGGCTCTGCAGGGCAGGTGCCATGCTTCAGAGATCCCACATTGGCCACATGCATTACTCAGTTCTCGTCCGCCACAGGGGTGGAATATGCGAGAGAGGATGGTGTACAATGTGCAGTGGAGTCCCACCAGACCAGGCATAGGGGGCCTCTGGATTCTCCTTAACTCTGCCACTGACTCACTAAAACTGGTCAAATCCATCTCCCTCCCTGCCTCAGTGAGATAATGTGCCTTTGGTGCAGTGATGCACTCTGCCTATAGCAGCTTCCTCCACGTGGAATATCATAATGTACATCACTGCTCTGGACAAACAACCTCCTGTGTCCAAACTGGGAAACAGAAACGCTCAGAATGGCTGGGAATGACTGACATCTGCAACGAACAGGAGGAGTTGCACTGGGAGAAACTATACAGCAAGAGAACGCTGTAGACATCAGGGCTTGGAGTGAGGAGAAAGTGTTGCGTGTGTGAGGGAGAAAGAGTTCCCCTCATTAGAAGGGGCAGACCCCCCCAAATCCCTCTGCTCCCTGGTCACTATTGCAGCCCCGGTGAACACAGGAAAGGTTAAAGTGGCAGAGTCGTTTTAAAACGGGGAGAGGAAACCTGCTCCTCACAGTTAACTTCTTGTTCCCCAACCCCTGCGAGGCTGGAAGATCCTGCTCCATCCCAAGGAGAAGGCAGCTGGTCCTGAAAGCAAATGACCTATGACTCCCCTTCTGATGCTCACCGCCAGGGGAGCCTGGCTGCTTCTTGAGGCGAGTAAAGGGGGCCAGTGACTGAGCCCTTCTGTACTTCTCCCACTCACAGGGGGAGGGGGAAGAGAGGAGCGAGGGCGGGGGCTCAGGAAGAAGGGGTGGCGCGAGGGCAGGGCCTCGTGCTCAGGGGAATCCCGCTTCCCATGGACCCCTGGCCCTGCATGCCCTTCAGCAGACCCCTCTGCCTGGCCTGGCCCCTCACCCATCTCTAAGAGCGACACTGTTGGCTCAGAGTCTCAAGCGCTGCATCCTGAGCCCAGTGCTGAGCCACTCCCAATGGAACCTGCAGCCTCAGCCAGGCAACCACTGAGGCATCACACAGGGCCTGGCCCAAAATTCATTAGAGCAGCCCCCAACCCAGCCAAGCAGAACATAGACTCCCAGCCGCTGCAGAGAGGCCCCCATTTCTCCACATGTCCCCCATCCTGCCATCTACCATCACGCATGAAGAGCTGCTGGTCTAACTCAGATTTCTATAGATGGTCAGGGAGTGCAAATTTGAGTGGTGATGTGACCTATCGCATGGGGTTGCAATGCCACTCAAATTTGGCCTGGCTACCCCTCTGAAGAAATTTGGCCTAGCTGCCCCTCTGGCAAATTTGAGTGGCATTGCACATTTTGAACCATGGGGTTGCAACTTGCAACCCCATGGTTAAAGTACAGGATAAAAGGTGTTTTGTACTGATTTAGTATGGGAGAGTCATTTCTTTTTAAACTAAGGAATGTCCATTACAATGGCCTATTGATAAACCTACCCACAAGGTTCCCTGTCACTGGCTCTGTTGTGAGTGTGGCTATAGTCTGCATACGGAATGATGGGATTTCATGTTTGTTGGCTTAGTGACTTATCTATGTATGTGTGGCTACACCTGGCCCCCTGCTCATGCTCCCCCAGTCAGTGCAGTGCTGATACTGTCCCCATGGATACTCCCTTGCCTGATTGTATAATAATAAAATAATAATTAATGGAGATATCCCATCTCCTAGAACTGGAAGGGACCTTGAAAGGTCATTGAGTCCCGCCCCCTGTCTTCACTAGCAGGACCAAGTACTGATTTTGCCCCAGATCCCTAAGTAGCCCCCTCAAGGATTGAACTCACAACGCTGGGTTTAGCAGGCCAATACTCAAACCCCTGAGCTATCCCTCCCCGCAAACTGGTGTCCACAGTTCAAGAAGGATGTTGTAGTCCAAGCTAGTTTACTTGGTGCCCAGGCCTTTGATAGGCTGGCCCATGAAGCACAGTCCAGTGTGCCATTCGCCTTATTTCTGAGCTGACTTCAAGCTCTTGCACTGGCATTCAACACCCCTGCTGTGTTCATCTGAGCTTAAGCAGGGGTTTCAAGTGATGCAAGTATCTCCTAGCACTCTGGCAATCATACCCCACAGGACAGGGCCGAGAAGCAAGGAGGTGTCCTTTGCATACAACACTCCTCTGAACAGCACTGCACTAAAAAATTTCTGCAGTTAGCAGGCTGTTTGGCCTTGCACCTGCATAGGGCTGTGGTGTATATGGGAGGCTTCGTGTAGGTTCTTTGCCAGAGGACTGGATTTTCTGCTTTAGTGGGTTCTTGAATATGACGCAGCACCTGTCTTGAAATATTGAAACTCCTGGGGAGTAGCAGTGTGTCAGTGCTCTGTGACATGTGACACAGACTTAACCATTCTGGCTGAGATGGCCTGAGATGTATTTTTTTAATGAGCTTACGGGTTTGGTTAGTGAAAGTGATAGTGTTGATGTAATCTACTTAGACTTCTGTAAGGCGATTCACTTGGTACCACACAACATTTTGATTAAAAAACTAGAGTGATATAAAATTAACATGGCACACATCTAATGGATTAAAAACTTGCTAACTGGTAGGTCCCAAAATGCGATTATGAACAGGGAATCATGGAATGGGTGTGTTTCTAACGTGGTCCACTGGGATTGGTTCTTGGCCTTATGCTATTTAACATTTTTATCAATGTCCTGAAAAAAAACATAAAATCATCATTGATAAAGTTTTCAGACAACATAAAAATTGGAGGAGTGGTAAATAATTAAGAGGACAGGTCACTGATACAGAGCGATCTATAACACAATCCAGTGGCTGGAAGTTTAAGATAGACAAATTCAGGCTGGAAATAAGGCATACATTTTCAACAGTGGGAGTATTTAACCACTGGAACGATTTGGTGGATCTGCTTTAGGAATTATTTTTGGGAAGTTTTCTGATCTTTATTCTACAGAAGGCCAGACTAGATAATCACAATGGTCCCTTCTGGCCTTGGAATCTATGAATCTATGGATTGCTTCTTAACCTGGTCACAGGCAAACAATATGCATTTTAATATGGCTAAATGTAAATGTACACGTCTAGGAACAAAGAATGTAGGCCAAAATGACAGGATGAAGGCTATCCTGAGAAGCAGTGACTCTGAAAAAGATTTGGGGGTCATGGTTGCTAATCAGCTGAACATGAGCTCCCAGTGTGACGCTGTGGCCAAAACAGCTAATGCAATACTTGGATGCATAAACAGGGGAATCTCAAGTAGGAGTTGCGAGAGGTTCTGGTGTCCACAGTTCAAGAAGGATGTTGATAAATTGGAGAGGGTTCTGAGATGAGCTATTAGAATAATTAAAGGATTAGTAAACACGTTGTGTGATCACAATGGTCCCTTCTGGCCATATGAATCCTTCCAGAGGAGCCCACCAACACACTGCTGAACAGTGTAAAACCCCGCTGGCTGAGCATGGCATGGAAAAGCCTTTCCCTACAACAGCGGGCTGGCCAGCACGTGAATTTCCATTGTAGAAAGAGGACTCCCTCCTTTGTACTAGATCAGTGATTATGCTGCTGTGAGGTGGCTCTGAACTGCAAACAGCAATTGCTCTGTACTGTTGTTTCAGTGACTTTTATTCTTCTTGCAGAATAATGGCCAGTAAGAAGAAGGAGATAATACTGCAGGTCAGTAATAGAGGTCCATGCTACAAATACATTTCAGAACTGATGGTATGGCACCTTTTATACTTGCTGTCAGTACTGTGGGGTAGATTTGGCCTGAGTTACTCCAGCTTCTGCTTGGAAAGCGATGGTGCAGGGTCTCAGCAGAGGCAAGTCTTCCTTGAGGGAGCAAAGGGTGGGAGAGATGGGGAGGTTGCAGCAAATCAGAGCAGCCCCCGAAGTAGGTGTTTTTAAAGGATGCAGCAGGGTCATTTACAATAAGGGGTTGTGGTAATTCAGCCTCTGTCACCAAGACCTCTATGGAAGTCTGAACACCATTCACAGCTGCTCTTCCAAGAAGGTACTTTCAAGTCCTATTCTGTTACATTTTGATTTCCTCAGGATCGTCACATGTACAAAGAATTCTGTAGGGAATCAGTCTAGAAAGTCTTCCTGTGCTGAGAGCCAAAGCAGTAGGAGAACTTGGAAAAAGAGCCATTCCTGTAAGAGGTGCAGAAAGGAGTAGGTGGGGTTCATTCCAGTGATGACATTCAGCTAGAGTTTGGCTTCCCTAAGAAAATTGAGAAACTTCTACCCCTTCCAACTTAGTCTTTCAAAGAATATTGAGTAGGAGTAGGGAGGTGGTATTACCTCTGCACATGGCATAAATGAGACTATTGCTGGAATATTGCATATAGTTTTGGTGTCCACACTTTAAAGAAGATATTGGAGAATTTGAGAGGGTTGAAAGAAGAGCTATGAGAAAGATTCTAGGTCTGGAAAATCTACCTGACACTGAGAGACTGAAGGAGCTCAGTCTACTGAACTGATGGAAGAAAAGGTTAAGAGTGAATTGCTCATAATCAATTAATACATATGTGGGGAGGAGATTTCTGATACCAGACAGGTCTTGACTCACACAGACAAAGGCATAAGAAGATCCAATAGGTGGAAGTTGAAGGTAAGAAAACTCAAATTGGAAATAAGGTGCAATTTTTTAACACTGTGGATACGTACCCACTGGAACATATTACCAAGAATGAGGTGGATTCTCCATCACCTGGAGACTTTAAATTGAGGTCTGCTGTCTTTCTAACTCTTCTGTATTACAACCACAATTTACTGGGCTTGATGCAGGAATTGCTGGGTGAAATTCTGGCCTGTGTCATGCAGGAGTTTAGAGTAAATGGTTCCCTCTTGTGGTACGTATCCACAGAGACTCCCCTTGGGATAACAAGCCTGGTACATATCAATTTCTTTGTTAAATTGACGAACTCATATAAGCTTGCAGTGTCCAGTGGGCATAGCTGGATGCTGCAAGATGGAGGTTCCTAGGGTTCTGTCTGGGACCAGAGATATTGGCTAGTGTCATTCGGTTGCACAATCCAAAGAGCAGCTTACATGCTAGAGGATGTGTGTGAACAGCCCAGGAGTGGGGGCTCTCACAGCAGAGCAGGATAAGGCTGGCTCCAGCAGTCAAGGACTGGAGTGACCTAGCAGATCACCGGTCCAGATAACACCAGAGGGAAATGTCACAGATACCATTAGCCAGAAGGGACAAAGGTCTGTTCTGTAAACAGTGGCCTGGATATTTCTTAGTTTAGAGTATCTAGTGTTCCATTTGTGTCATGGGGCCAACCTCACAGAGGGGTAGCAGGCTGGCTAGCACTCTGTGCCGATTTGGTTCTTGTGTGGTATAGAGTTCCTTCTGTAGATGGCTTTTCTTTTCTGCGGCAGTCAGTGCTGAAACTTCACTTCTCTGCAAAGCCTCCCTGTGATAATTTGCCATATGTTATATATTAGGTACCTGGAGAGATATCATCCCATCTTTGTTCCACAGTGCCAAATGGACTTTAAAAAAAATGGAGTTGATATGATACCAATATGCATTCATCTGCATATGGCTCACTAGCCACAGTGAAGGCAGGCACTTCACTGAGCATCTCAAGAAACACAATGTTAAGAACTGCATTTAAAATTCAACCCATAAAGGCATAATCTTTACTGATGCAAGAAGGGTGACCCTAATATAAATCCTGCCATCCAGTGGCCAAAGTGAAAAGTCAAGTATTAAGTTCTAGTGGTATTACTGAGGCACTGATGGTGGCTCTAGGGTAGGGGTGGGCAAACTTTTTGGCCCGAGGACCACATCGGGGTTGCACAACTGTATGGAGGGCAGGGTAGGGAAGGCTGTGCCTCCCCAAACAGCCTGGCCCCCGCCCCCATCCACCCCCTCCCACTTCCTGCCCCCTGACTGCCCCCCTCAGAACCCCCGACCCATCCAACTCCCCCTGCTCCTTGTCCCCTGACTGCCCACTCCAGACCCCTATCCACATCCCCGCCTCCTGACAGGCCCCCCGGGACTCCCACTCCCAACCCTCCCTTTTCCCCATCCCCTGACCACCCCCCCAGAACCTCCGCCCATCCAACTGCCCCCTCCCCCTTGACGGCCTCCCAGGACCCCCCGCTCCCTTACCCAACCCCCCCCCCCTCGCAATACCAGCAATAGGAACTCACAGCCTCAACACCCGGCCAGAGCCAGCTGCGCTCCCCATGCTGCCTGCGCGGCGGCATGGCTGCGGGGGAGGGAGGACAGCGGGGGAGGGGCCGGGGACTAGGCTCCCCAGCCGGGAGCTCAGGGGCCAGGCAGGACGGTCCCGCAGGCCAGATGTGGCCTGCGGGCCGTAGTTTGCCCATGTCTGCTCTAGGGCAAAAGTGGAATAGGGCATTTGCTTTGACAGGACTTTGATGTTTCTGAAATGAAACAATTACTTGTTTTAAACAACTAAAAGCGGAAATTACTCTTAGAAAAGTATGTAAATTTTTAAAATCACATGCATAAATCTTGCATGGCATCTCACAAAACTTTGTGCCCCTTTTGCATGAAAACTATAATACCCACCAAGTTCAAAATTCATACACATCATATGCAGGATTCCTGGATCCCACAGAGCTCAGTTTGTGGCCCTACGCTATTTAACATTATTATTAATGACCTGGAAGAAAATGTAAAATTATCACTGATAAAGTTTGCAGACACAAAAATTGGGAGAATGGTAAATAGTGACGAGGACAGGTCAGTGATACAGAGTGATCCGGATCGCGTAGTAAACTGGGCACAAGCAATACGCATTTTAATATGGCTACATGTAAATGTATACCCCAAGAATGTAGGCCATACTTACAGGATGGGAGACACTATGCTGGGAAGCAGTGACTCTGAAAAATATTTGGGGTTGATAGTGGATAATCAGCTGAATATGAGCTCCCAGCGTGACACTGTGGCCAAAAGAGCTAATGCAATCCTGGGATGCATAAACAGGGGAAACTTGAGTAGGAGTAGAAGGGTTATTTTAGCTCTGTATTTAGCATTGATGCGACTGCTGCTGGAATCCTGTGTCTAGTTCTGGTGTCCACATTTTAAGAAAGATATTGATAAATTGAAATGGGTACAGAGAAGAGCCACAAGAATGAGGAAAGGATTAGAAAACATGCCTTATGGTGATAGACTCAAAGAGCTCAATCTGTTTAGTTTAACAAAAAGAAGGTTGAAGGGGTGACTTGATTATAGTCTATAAGCACCTACATGGGGAACAGATATTTAATAATGGGCTCTTCAATCCAGCAGAAAAAGGTCTAACACAATCCAATGTCTGGAAGTTGAAAGTAGACAAATTCAAACTGGAAATAAGGCATCAATTTTTAATGGTGAGAGTAATTAACCACTAGAAAAATTTACAAGGGTCATGGTAGTTTCTGCATCACTGGCAATTTTTTTATCAAGACTGGATGTTTTTCTGAATATATGCTCTAGGAATGATTGTGGGAAAGTTCTATGTCCTGTGTTGTACAGGAGGTCAGACTAGATGATCACAGCGATCCCTTCTGGCCTTAGAATCTATGAATATCCCCTGTCTTTGAAGTTCACACCCTGTTTTTTTCCTCAAGTCTTCTAGCCTTTCTCTTCAAAAATTGATAATTTCTACTTAATTTACAAGCAAACCACCCAAATAAAATGGAGGGAGGGATAGCTCAGTGGTTTGAGCATTGGCCTGCTAAACCCAGGGTTGAGAGCTCAATCCTTGAGGGGGCCACTTAGGGATCTGGGGCAAAATCAGTACTTGGTTCTGCTAGTGAAGCAGGAGGCTGGACTTGATGACCTTTCAAGGTCCCTTCCAGTTCTAGGGGATAGGATATCTCCATTAATTTGATCAGTGGTGATGTTTGGTTGGCTGGGAAGATGCCTGACAGTGGAAATAGCAGCCCCCAGTCCAGGAACAAGCTGCTTTCAGGGCTTGGTAAAATAGGATTTGCTTGGTTGTCAGCAAGGTTTGAAACCGTGACCTTCTGCTGCACAGCTCTGACTTCTACCACTCATACTGAAGAAGTAACATGCTACTTAATAACAGTATATTAGGCTTTTATTCTCTTACTTGAATCAGTCACGAAAGGAATGGTGAGATTCAAGAATTTTAGTTCCATTCCAAGTTCTGGAGGGTAGTGTCCTCTGGAGGTCACAGTCCTTCTTTTATTCCACTCAAGCCTGACCACTTGTACCCCATCCCCTTCAGCTTTTCCCTGTCTTGTCTCTTCCTCCACGACTCCTCCCCCCCCACATTTCTTCAACCCAGTCTCAATCTTCCTGCCCAGCTTGCCTCAGTTTATTCTTGCAGTCTCTCCCCACTGCACCCCAGGTTCTTGTCCCACTCTCTGTCCCCAGCCAGTCCCAGTTTCTCCATCCTCCAGCTCATAATCCAGTCAATCTCCCCCATCTTTGTTCCCTCCCACTGGCTCCCAGTACTAGTCTTCCTCCTCCCAATCTCAGTTAGGGTGACCAGATGTCCTGATTGTATAGGGACAGTCCCGATTTTTGGGTCTTTTTCTTATATAGGCTCCTATTACCCCCCACCCCTATCCTGATTTTTCACACTTGCTGTCTGGTCACCCTAGTCCAAGTTCTAACCCACTTCAGGCTTCTTGTCCTAATCTACCTACTGCCCCAGGTCTGGTCCTTGTCCTACCAGCATTCAAATCAGGCAGTGTTCTTTTCCACAGGCCAGCAGGAGGAGCATTGAAAGCACTGGAGAGAATCTTCCTGTGTTCAGTTTCTGTGCCTGGTGCCACACTGGCCTGTAGCAATTGCAAGGAAAGGCCTGTTCAGCCCCAACAGCCTTAGACTGGAGCATGCTCTCTACAGATGGAATCTTCAGAGCATTCAGTTGTCACACTAACACGTCTTCAGTGAGCTTGTGCAAACTGAGATTTTTCAAACTGGCCAAATTTGCGCTTTTTTGTTTTTTTAAACCAAGAAAGCAAAAGGCACATCCCTTACACTAGTTAAAGGCACATGCCTGCTAAATTTCAAGCCCTTGCTGCAAAGCATGGATGCACTAGATCATCTCAACAAAACAACTATACAAATTTTGTAAAAGGGACAAAATATATTTTTTCTAATCTCATTTGTGGAAACTTAAAATAAATAAATAAATAAACAAGTAGAAAAGTATGAGAAAGACACCTGGCATGGAAAACTTCCAGCTCCACTTATAATTTCTAAGGGGAGGAAAGGTCTGTCATTTCTACTGAATTCCTACATGTAGCTTCAAAAAAACAAGGAAATTCTCACAAACCAAGAACAAGCAACACCCAGTTAGGGTTGCCTAAAAGGAACATCCACACAAACCCATAAAAGCCAAGAAGTGTCCAGATAGAGTATCCTCCTTCAACATATCTTACCACCACACATTACATTCACCACTTTCACTGACAGACTGCCTTTCTATAAATAAGTCCCATACAGCATGTACAGTAACATAATACACATTACATTCCTCGCAATTACACTATAATACAGATCCTTAATGCTGACTTCATACTTCTCCATGGGGAAATTTGCACTGGTGCCTACTAGACACCCCCAAAAATACCCCCACCCTGGTTCGTCTGCCAGCACCCACATATATCTGCTTGAAGGGAGGAGATGAAACAGCTGTGCTCTTTCCCTCTTACCACACACCCAGAGTCCTGCTGGGGGTTCGGGTACCCCAGAACAGTAGGTCTTGGTATTAACATCCCATTGGGTATTGGGTATTGTAAGAGACTCTTCAATACTGAGTATTGTAGTCAGAACCTTTCTTCCAGCTGTTCCTGTGTCATGGTTTGCTGTGACTTGTTTAAATATAAAAGTGAAACTGTTTTGTAGTAAAATAAACAGTTATTGCATATTGCTATCTATTACTCTTCATACTCACAATGTATATATTTTAATTTTAACTCAGGTTACTATCAATAACCAGGAGCTTTGGGAGGAAATGCTGGGTTTCAAAGGACTGATAGGTAAGGACTGAGCAAACATTTCAGATCACTTGTATTTAATTTCAAAACAAACATCCCCCTGCACTCAGGACCAGCAAAATAAGGAAATGAAGGTGTGCCACTTTCCTTGTAAAGCAGGGGGTGGGAAACAAACAGAGTGATATAAAATGAACATGGTTGAGATATCTTTGGATCATCCTGGTCCCCTTGCCCATGGAGGACTGGTAGCTGCTGTAGATATTCAGTTGCTTTGTCCTGCCAGAAATGACTTTACGACTTTGCTTGAGATTCTGCTCCACAATCTACTAGACATAATTTTTGAGGCTCCTTCATGATACTCCACCTGAACTTTCTCTTGCTCAGGTTAATCTAACAACTCCTATCTATACCCCTTTCAATCTGTCAGGGAGAATCCTGCCCCAGGAATTGACTCTAGTTAGAGAGATGACTCTAGGCAGAGGTTACACTCTCCTGCTGTTTGCAACAGCTTTCCCCAAACTGGCAGTAATACAAACATTTCTGCAAAGATTCCTGTCATAACACTGTCATCAACTTAAGCCTGCAATGACTGAGACCATCAGTGCTTCAGCTTTGAACCAGTATCACTTGTAGGTGCCTAACCTCCTCAGAGTTAGCCTGAGTAGCGGCTAGCCCAAAGGATGCATATGTAGGAGAGTTCATTCCTTATCGGTAACTTGAGAAAGTGGCACCAGTTAACTTAACTTAAATAATTAAATAAAATAACTTAAATCATTTTTAAACCAATTTTAGTGAAATTGGTGCAAAAGGCTGGATAGACACTCGTATTTTGGTTTAAGAGGCTTGCTCGGATTAATTTAAATCTGTTACTAATTGGCATAAGCTGGTGGTCCTACCTTTTCAGTCCTGTGGGATGGATGCTAGTTTGGGGGCACCTCTGTGGCCACATACAGAATTGTATGCTCTACAAAATGGAGTCCTCCATTTGGCATGACTTCACACATACATTGTATGTGAGGTCATGCTGCATAGAGGATGCCATTTTGCTCTACAAAGTGGCATCCTCCATGCAGAGTGGCCTTGCACGTAGGATGCTATTTTGTAGAGCAGATCTGCTGGAGGACAGAGACACGTTTGGGGTCCAGATGGTATTGTTCTGCAAGCTGGATCCAGTCCATGGGTCACCACTTGGACCACCTCAGTGTGTGCATATGTAATCCACACACCTCCTGGGTGTGGTGTTCTGTCCCATCTAGTGGGGGGTAGGGGAGAGAAGAGAGAGAGAGAACACAAAAACAAAATAAAAAGAGTGCGCTCTACAGCCTTAGCTAACAGCCAATTGGCTTTTAGCTCATGCAGTAGAGGCTGGTGCACTAAGCTCCAGAGGTCCCAGGTTCAATTCTGCCCACCAACCCCCAGGGTCTATTAGCACTACACATACATACCCTTTTGCACTGGCTTAACTAAATTCATTTAAAATCGTACCTTTCATTAAACCAATGCAACTTGCTTTTCTAGAGCAGGCCTTAGTTTTACCAACCTAGCTGATGTAGTTTCAGCATGGGAATTGTACCCCTTTCGCTGGAATGCAGTGCTGTGGCAGGACAGCACAGAGTCTGAATGTCAAAGGGGAGAAGACACTCAGCTTCCTTCACTGAGATTCAGTGAGCAGGTGTATATATTTGGGAATGTAAGAGTGACCTATAGAGTCTGGCTCCAGGCCCATCTGCTGCCTCAGGTTCCCCTCACCTGCAGCATGGATTGGTTGCTGAGATGATTTAACTCCTGGGCCATGCCCCCAAAAGTCTGCCCCTTTCAGGGTACCAAAGTCCAGGCAAACACAATACAGAAGAGTCTTCCACCCCAGTCATTGGCTGGTCACATCCCTTCCTTCCTGAGGGTCTGTCTTCTCTTCCACCCCTGCCCTCCCCCTGGGCTCTGCGTCTCTCAATCTTCCCCTGGCCGGTAGGGGTCACTGCAGCACCTCATTAGATGGTAGTATAAACAGCCATTCAGTCCTCCCCTTACTAGCAGGAGTTGCTGCACCCCTTTACAGGGTGACAGCATAGGGGGAATCCAGATCCACTTTCTACTATAGGTTCTCATCCTGGGAACCCTAAACAACTGGGCTTTCTGCCCCTTTGTAGCCTCAACCACCCCATTGCTCCTTCCTAACCCCTCTTCCTGTACTCCCAGCCCTTCCGTATATCATCCTGCTCTTCTATAGACCTCTGACTCCCACAGCTGTTCTCCCTGGAGTCCCTCTCTGACTGAACCACAAGTGCTCTCATTTTCCCATCAGGGCTGCTCTTAACCACATGTTCACCTTGTTATATGACTTTGCCCATTTCCTTGACCTGGGGGATAGCTATGCCCCTAACAGGTGCAGCTGAGCCCCAGCCCCCTTAAAGGGTCAGAACACCCTGTAACAATGAGTAATGTCCAGAGTAGGTGCTGCCCTCTCTTATCAGAAGTGCTAATTATAGGGAAGGACACTGGTTTTCTCTTATTTAAATGGACAAATTATTTCTAGTGATGTTTTAACCTTCTTGGTCCCAGGATATTAGAGAGATAAGGCGGGTGAGGTAATTTCTTTTATTGAACCAGAAATTGGTCCAATACAAACTATTACCTCACCTACCTTGTCTTGCTAAATTATTTCTATTGATTTCAGCCAGACCCTGTTGTAAAAGATAAAAACAAGGTGGGAGAGTTAAGGTTGATTTCCTGCATTTCTGAGGGCTTGGTGTTTCAACTTTAATGTTGTCCAAGAGCTGTTTTTTCTTACAGAATCTGTATGTGTTGAGTCAACATGCACGTGTGTGTGTGAAGATTAATAATGTTCTGAAAGTGCTGCTGTCATACACAAGATTTTTCAGAGGCCAAATTGCACAGCATTAATAGAGCAAACAAACAGAGCTCTTTGGTGTACACATCCCTTTTGCAAAACCTTTTTAAGAAACAGGAACAAACCAAATAATTAAAGTTTGCCTGTCAGCTCAACTTTCATCAGTTTACCAACTCCTGGCCGTAATCTGACTTGTATCTTTTTAGGTACCAGGCTTGTTCTTCCCATGCCACCACTCCTTCCCTACTTTCCAGTGTTTCTGTTTTTGCCTTATGAAGAGACAATATTTGAGCCTACAACAAGCAGCCTTTTATAATAATTTATCTGGGTGTGGACCACCTAACCCACACGTCTAGACTGAAAGTGAATTGTGGGATTTTGCTTCCTGGCTATCTGCATTTGGAAATTTCCCCCTTTCACTGCATAAGTGACCCTGCATAATCTGAAATTAGTACAATCAAAATGGAGTGAAAAGCTGCACTGACCAAGTTATTTGTATGTGCTTGGCCTCAGTATTTCTGAACTGTCCCCATCCTGTCATTGCGTAACCCTACTGACACACCTTCTCCTCTGTGCAGTTGTTGATGTGTATCAAGGCTGGTGTGGTCCATGCAGAACAGTCGTGAACCTTTTCAGAAAAATAAGGAATGAGCTTGGTGATGACCTTCTGCATTTTGCCGTGGTAAGATGTAATCCAGAATAGTGTCTGCTTCAAATGTACCAAACCACCCACAGAATCAACAGACAAGGAAATGCTGAAGCCACTTGTCCTTGCACTAGGCAGCAAATGTGTGCACAATACAGGAGTTCTTATGCATACGTGTAGTCCCACTGACTTCCTGGGCCTAGTTATGAGAGGATGGGGAAGCTTACATGGATACAAATTGCAGGGATGTATCCCAGATTGAACAGTGGGAGAGACTACATTTTAATATAACTTAAGAAACAGTACTCAATAATATAACATTGTTGCCCTGTCTTCCCTCTCACAAACTGTATGCTGTAGGAATACTACATTTGCAAAGTGAAGCACTCATAAGTTGAGAAATGCTGAAGTTAAGGATGTCTGGGCAACCTTAACTCAGCCTCTTGTGGGTATGCATTCCAATGACTCTCTAATTACATTCCAAATATAAAATCTTCCTTTTAGAAGTTAGTTAAGGTTGCTAAATGGCAACAAGGTATGTGCCTATCATATCACTTATAAACTCAGGCACTTAAGAACAAGGACATGAATAAGTCAGAACCTCAAACCTTACCCTGCACAAACACTTTTTCTTATCACGCATAAAGAAATGGATAATTCATCTCAACACATCTTCAATTCTGACTAATAGGCTTTTGGTTTTATGTATTTTATCATATTTGGAAGTATAAGTAATGCTAATCAACATGGTCTTATTCATTCCTAATCAATCACATTTGGTATTGTTCTTTGATGACAAGTTTGACTCACCAAGGTAACTGTGGTGATATAATATACCTGTATTTAGACTTCTGTAAACATTTGACTTATTCTGATTAACAACCTAACACTATAAAGAATCAATATGGTGCATATTAAATAGCTCAGCTGGCTGAATAGCTCTCAAAACATGATTGCTATTAGGGAATCAGTAATGAGTGGGGGTGTTTCCAGTGGGGTCCCATAGAGAGTGGGATCAAAAATCAGATATGCCAATAATCCCTCATGTGCCTATGTGTGGCTGTGCCTTCCTTTCAGTCATTAAAACATTTAAAAGTTATTTAAAAATGCAAGTAAGCTAATTTGGAGGCTGGATGTACATCTTATAGGGGATAATTTAAAAAATGGTGCTTAGCACCTTTATTAAAGAAGGATGTTGTTTGCACAGTGAACAAATTGGTAGTGACATTTAAAATAAGATCTTAATACACCTCTACCTTGATATAACACTGTCCTCGGAAGCCAAAAAATCTTACCGCGTTATAGGTGAAACCGTGTTATAGTGAACTTGCTTTGATCCACCGGAGTGCACAGCCCCGTCCCCCTGGAGCACTGCTTTACCGCGTTATATCCAAATTCGTGTTATATCGGGTCACGTTATATTGAGGTAGCGGTGTATAAGCAATGTGTATATCTAAAAACATATTTTAAAAGCTTTTCCAAACCCTCACACTAATAGGGCAAAAATATTTCTCAACCCTTTTTGAAATGTTTACTTTTCTACAATGTAAAATTTTGATATAACCAATTTGATATTGTGTTTTATTTAGGCTGAAGTAGATTCCATTGATGCTCTAGAGAACTACAGGGGAAAATGTGAACCTACCTTTCTGTTTTATGCAGTAAGTTAGAATATTTTAAAATTGTAAACAATAATAAACCTTACCAGTTGAAATAATCATTTTCTTCCAAAGATGCCTTGTTTGCGTTTTTGATCTCCAGCTCCTGGATATATATTCCACCTCTTTCATTCACTTCGCTAATCAGTTTGGTGCCAAAATCCTGTCCTGAATGCAACCTGATTTATCTATCCAAATGCTGCCATGCATGATAGTCGTTTTATTTTCTGTGTGTCTGTCTAGGTATTTATAATGTATCCACCATCTGGACACAATAGCATCATATCCAATCAGTTATTATCTTTTGAACACTCTGTCCTAAGTTGCTTTCCAGAGCAGCTGTAAATAATCCAATTACAACATTGTTATTTTATTAATAAATAACTGAACAAGAGAGACGTTAAGATATACTGTATAGGTGAGGGGAAATAAATGTGTAATGGAATTTTGAAATGCGATGAAGAGCTGATGGGATCAGGACCAAGGTCCAGCTAAGCTGGTGTCATTTCTCCACCATTGTCCAGGATGAGCTGCATCAGAGGGAGGTGTTAGAATGCTCCTAATGGCAGTTATAGAATAACCTGCCCATAGGGCAAGTTTCTTCCTAGCCCCCATCAGTCAGGGTTGACTCTTGCCCTGAAGCATGAATGTGTGTATCCCTTCTTTAAAAGGACAAAATCACCCTCATTAATGTAACAGTGGATGGTCTCACTCTCCATCTGAATATCCTTTCTGAATCCTGGACTCCATGATATCCTGTGCAATGAGCCCCACAGGCCACTTATTAAAACCCCACATAGTTGAGAACCAGGGCTTTGTCTTTAAATCACTTCAGGTCTCCCCTTGTCTGTGCCCAGTGAGAGAGTAACTTGTCTAGTCACTCATGGCCTTCCATCCATTACTATGTGAAATGGTTCAAGCTGCTCCCATAGAACATGCTGCTTCCCTCCTCTTTAGTTCATTCACAGATGGCAAGAACCCTTCCGTAGAGCATCTTGCTGACCTGTACCTACAGCCGTGCTGAGGGGCCAGGGCAGCACTGTTTGTGCTCAGGCCATAACTGAAGATAGACAATGGGAGTGAGGAACCAGAGTTGCAGGAGCCCTTTGTCACCTGCCAATAGGCAATGCATGTCTCAATTATATCATGAGAGTGTGTGCTCACTGGCTATTGACGTGTATCTAAAAGGTGTCATTTGAGCAGTGTTAGCACCTCTCTTCTATCTCCCTAGTGCTGGACAGTCCGAGTAGCTGAGGTCAAATGAGTGGAGATGGGCACTTGGAAAGCTTGTGCAGATGATGGAGTATGGTGTTGTATACATAGCATGTATACAGAACAGAACTTTTCCCTATTTCCACAGGCTGAATGGCTCACCCTGAGGGAATACGGATGCTGCCCTCATTTCCTGGCACTGTAGGAAAGAGGGCTCTCTGGCAGAACACCTGCCTGGCCTGGAGTTGAGTAAGCTTTGTCCCTGGGGAGTGGGGGTGGTACTCAGGACCTCCCAATCATCCCCAACAGGAAGGCAGCTGACTGTGATCTGCCACAACGTAGATTAATTTAAAGCAAAATAATTTAAATCACTTATTTAAATAATGATTTGAATCCACAAGCAGGAAACTTTGATTTTAATAATCGATTTTAATTGTGGTTTACATTTGTACTTTTTAGTTATTTTCCTAGAGAAAGGTTGATTCTCTTTGATTGGTGACAATTCAAACATGTTGATTTGCAACAAAATATAGTCTTTACACTAAGTTTGGTACTTCTTTTTGCTAGCCAGGATGATACACAGTATCTATACACATTATTTAAACAATTATATAACTTAATTTACATTTATTCAGCCTCTTAATTTTCCCATTTTTATTATCTTAAACAATTGTGAATGATACATTTCTTATTTATTATATGATGATTAATTTTTTACTTGTGATTTGTGTCAAGCTCTATTTGGATGGAAATTCAGATTCAGTTATAAATGGACTCAGACAGCATTAAAGGTTTTGTTATTAAATAAAGCTACCTTAAAAGTGCTGAATACATAAGAAAAGGTTTATCAAAACACGTTCTTCCTGTAAAACTGAATTCTTAAAGGAAGTATTATCTATACTTAACTGAACTGATTGTTTCTGGTCATCATGTCCTTAAAGATTTTAGAAATAATAGAACTCATCCTCACACCCTAGTTTATATTTATAGATTGGGGGGAAAAAACAAGCTTTAATGCTTTTTCAATTCCTGTTTGGTTTCTTAACTTTCAACTGAACTAGATGCATAAATTGAAAAGAAGAAAGCATACTCTCTTCACCTACAGAAGAGGATAATGCTGTCAAAAGTTAGTTTGGCACTTCATCAAACTCTGGTTCCAGGTGTCTAGTCAGTGTCTTCCAGTTTTGTGTTTTGATTTTCTTTAAAATTTGGCAGCAAACATGTACTGCTTACTATTATGTTTTGTATTTAATTTAAATGATTTTATTAGAATATAAGAAGTTTAGGCCTTAAGATTAGTTGTCATTTAAATTTTAATTTTAAATAGGTTTATTTAAAAAAAATTGTCTGCATTTAATTTAATGGAAAAGCCAATTTTTTAATTGATTTTTATCCACCCAGGTATGCTAGCAGTGTGCCCCATGGTCTTTTGGAAGAATCCAGGGTCAGAAAGCCCAGGGGAAATGTTACTTTTGCTCTTTACTCAACAAACCTAACATGATGGAGCCCACTGGGCATGTTGTAGTCCAAATCAGCATGTTTACTTACTATATACAACATGTTATAATTAATGGAGATATCCCATCTCCTAGAAGTGGAAGGACCTTGAAAGGTCATTGAGTCCAGCCCCCTGCCTTCACTAGCAGGACCAAATACTGATTTTGCCCCAAATGGCCCCCTCAAGGATTAAACTCACAACCTTGGGTTTAACAGGCCAATGCTCAAACCACTGAGCTATCCCTCCCCCCAACATGTTGCTCGAGCAGGTTTCTAAACATAGAACACACAACACCACTAGAGGACTCACAAGCTATTTAAAGGGATACTACCTAATTCCTATACACTGTAGCAAGACTCCTTCATGCCACGTCTCAGCTCATGGCACAGATGTGTAATAGCTTCATGGTTGAGTCTGACCACTGGGTTACCTATGCTGTTGTGAGTTCAAGGAAAGTCTTGCAGGGCCCTTACACTTATTAGGGTTGTTACATAATTTCCCCTTGTTCTGGCAGGGCCAGCTTGCACACCCTTCCCCCACATCTGCCTGAGCAAATAGAAATGGATCAGGCTGGAAGCAATGCATCCCCCACCAAGACAAGAAAACATGACTGTATCCCCTCCCCTTAGAGCAGTGTTTCCCAAACTTGGGATGCCACTTGTGTAGGGAAAACCCCTGGCGGGCTGGGCTGGTTTGTTTACCTGCTGCCAGGGCCGGGTTTTGGCCGCCCCAAGCAGCCAAACAAAACAAAACAAAACCAAAAAAAAAAAAAGCCGTGATCGCGATCTGCGGCGGCAATTCAGCGGGAGGTCCTTTGCTCCGAGTAGGAGTGAGGGACCGTCTGCCGAATTGCCGCCGAACAGCTGGACGTGCCGCCCCTCTCCAAAGTGGCCGGCCCAAGCACCTGCTTGGTAAGCTGGTGCCTGGAGCCGGCCCTACCTGCTGCATCTGCAGGTCCGGCCAATCGCAGCTCCCACTGGCCGCGGTTCGCCGCTCCAGGCCAATGGGAGCTGCTGGAAGTGGTGGCCAGTATGTCCCTCGGCCCCCGCCGCTTCCAGTAGCTCCCATTGTCCTGAAGTGGCGAACCACGGCCAGTGGGAGCCGCGATCGGCTGGACCTGCGGACGCGGCAGGTAAATAAACCAGCCCAGCCCGCCAGGGGCTTTCCCTACACAAGCTGCGTCCCAAGTTTGGGAAACACTGCCTTACAGTAATACCTAGTCCCACTCCACGCAGCTGACAAGTTCTAGGTAGCTCCTCCATGGATGTCAGTGCATCAAGTAATGAGTGGCTTTTTCCTGATTCAGACTTTCTCCTCTAATATAAATAAATCAATGCTCATGCTTCTAAAAAACTAACTGCTTTCACCTACCACTTCCCATTCAGTTTTGGTGGAGGTATTCTTTGCCAGTAACTAAATTAAACCTGGATTCTGCCATAATTAATACTGTCCTCAAAATAAAAATTTAGTTTAGCATTTCAACTGCTTTAGTGGGACTAATAAAAATAAGCATCTTTGTCACCAGTAAGCATATCATCTGATTGATTGCCTTGTAATACCTTTCAGGGAGGAGAATTAGTAGCTGCTGTAAGAGGAGCCAATGCACCACTGTTACAGAAAACGATCCTGGACCAGCTGGAGGCAGAAAGGAAGGTTTTAGAACAAGGAGCAGAACGTGTGGGGGTAATCAGGGGTCTCAATATATAAATCCATGGAGGCATGTTGTCACAAGAAAGGTTCTCTTCCTCCTCATAATGCTGTCTCTGGTAGAGAGCACACACAAGCATTATCTACCTTGGCTGAGGGTATAAAAAGCACCCCCCCTCCAACATCCACCAGTTCTCTCACCCTCCAGAAGCTGCCTCTGGAGTTGGGCTCCAACACACAAAATGAGCCTGACGTTTCAAACATGGTCATGATGGGCTTTATTTACCTTTTTGCACATCTGTGATGGCATGTATAAACCCCACTCAGGCTAAGAAGGGGTTAACTAGCTCTGTTAGCCCCAGCTGATTATACCTGGAGGGTGTGTCAGGCCCAGGGAAGAGTTTAAAGGAAGGAGTTTAGAGGTTTGGGGAACAAGAGACTCAGGAGTAGTCTGGAGGTTAAACTCTGTGGGCAGGGTCTGGCAGAAGGAGAACTGTGCGAAAGCTACAGGAGTAGTGTTAACTCCTGTGGTGAACCTTGAAAAAGAAGAATAACTCTAGGGGGAAGCTTGGGGAGATGCTGCTTTGGAAGAAGAGTGAGACTGGAGATGTGTTGAGTACCAGTATTGTGTTGGGACACTACTTGTTTGGGACATTGATAGCCCGAAAGGGGTGGAACTATCATTTGACCTGGCCATAGGGCCAAGTCACCACCATACCAGACCACTGAAGTCCTAAGAACCCAAGTAGAGTTGCCTAAATGCTGGGTCATGCCACAAGTGGGTGCTCTGGGATGGTGACTGCAGAGATGGGAAGAGGGTTTGCTGAGAGACTGTGAGCTTTAGAAAAAGTTGTACAAATCAGCAAAATTGCAGGAAGAGAGCCAAGAAACCATATATGCAGATGTCACATAGTGGAGGATTAAGGATGGACAGGAGAGGAAAACAAGATAAAATCAGTCAGTGTAAGAAAGGGCACCAAAACCTTGCCCAAAATAGCCCAGACAACTGTGTGGAAGGTGTGGACATGACTGTAAAAACAGATAATAGCCAGCATGTAGGGAAAAGTGCAGAATCTGCTGGAAGTACAAACAGTGCAGGCAGAAGAACATGGTAAATACAGTGAAGGAATCTAGAGTTGAGACCTTGTACGTTGATCCCATACAGGAGTTGTCATAGGAGATCCTCAAAGGAGAGGCCTGAGCCAATCCCCTTTGAGGGATTGTGCTGGTGTCACTGTAGATCTAGCTAGCTCCAGCACTAGCCCAGCTGCTCCACCACTTATTAATACTCCCTTTATTTTGGCACATCCCGAGCTGTTTATTTCCCAAGAGCAAGACTCCTGAATGGATGGTATCATTAATGAATGAGAAATAACTCTGCCTGTAACTCTGCTACTCAGAAGATGGCCTCACATGAGACATGCAGAGCAGGAGGTGTGTTTCTCAGGAGGCTACATTCCTCGGGTTTATTGTACTCTTGCCCAGGAAGTTGAGCTTGTGTGCTTGTCTGATCCAGATTTTGCTTCTTGTCTCCTACTGGTTTTTATTGGCAGCACTTCCTTCTCTCATTATTCCGGAACAAACCAATAGGTTTGGGCAGCTAGTTCCTTAGTTGTACGCTTTGCACCTATGGAGAACACTGCTGCACAGCCCAGTGACTAAGGCTGGTCATTGCTGAACAGCCTTACCTTGAAAACAGCAAGAAGCAAATGGATCCAGTCCAGCTTTCTGCTGTGGCACATTGAAGTGTTTATGATTGGCACATGTATGGAGTGTGATAGGTCACTAAGTGTGGTGTGAATCCTGCAATCACAGCTCATTCATGTGTTCTCACTGCTAGATTAAGGATGAAGTCCTCTCCAAGGAAGGAGAAGATGCCACCATCGTTCAGGAAGAAGAATAGGAAGACGAGCTGGGAAAGCAATCCTGCCACAATGAGGTAGCACAGTGCTTCCAGCCCCACTCCGCTCCCCGGCCCCGCCCCACCCCATTCAGCCCTCAGTCCTGGTCCGCCTTCAGGCCAGATCTTCCCCCCAACCCCACCCCATCCCGCCCCCATCCTCAGTTCTGCCCCCAGCTCCTCCCCCATCCTCAGTTCTGCCCCCACCTCCACCTTCAGCCCAGGCTCCACTGCTGAGGAAGCCTTGGCTGCACAGTAATGGAGAGGCAGGGGTGCAATTGGAAAAGTTTGCGTACCACTGCTCTTGTGGGCAGTTATGGACTAGTCTACTTCTAGAGGAAGTGTCTTCCTAACACACGGCCAGGTAGCGCGTGCCCAGTTGCACAGCAGTTTAAGATCCCACTTTACATTTTAATAAATCATATCAAATGTAACTGTAGGTATTCCTATTAGCTCTATAAATCCTCTTTTGAATCCTACCCAGTTCCAGGCCACAAGAACATGCAGCATCAATGAGCTCCACATGCTAACTATGCACCATGTAAAGCCATATTTCCTTTTAGCAGTATTAAAATTTGCTGTCTCAGTTTCATTGAATATCCCCGTTCTTCTCTAACAAGAGAGGATGAACAAAGCCACCTTCTCTACTTTCTTCATCCTATTCATTACTCTGTAAACCTCTATTGTAGCCCCTCCTATTCGTCTCCTTTCTTAACCAAACAGCCTTTCCATTTTGCCCCCTGTTCCTGCTACATCCTTGTTCAAATGGGTGACCACAATGGCACACAGAATCCAAGTGAGGGTGTACCCGTGAGCTATATCATGACACTAAAATATTCTCTGTATTATTTTCCATTTTTTGAGCATTTAACATGTTTTGACTGCTGCTTGGCATTAAGCAGGGGTCTTCATCAAACTGTTCAGAGCGATGCCCAGGTCTTTTCCATAAGTGGGAACAGGTTATTTACTCTCCAGTGTGCATTATTTTGCATTTGTCAAGATTTAATTTCATCTGCACGGAGCAGTGAGAGCATAAGACACTTTCATTCTACTGCACCTTGTTCATTGATGCAAAGACCAAAATTAATCTTGCACTGTTCGGTTGTACAGATCTGTTTGAACTTGCTATAAGTTGTTTAAATGTTTTCTTCTGCACATTATTAATTTTTTTCTCCTTGGTAGATTAATGTACCCCTAATCTTCTGGGATTGCTTTTTCCATTGTCCTATTGAAGCAGAGGAATTTTAGAGACACCTTTTTGCCCTTTATACATGCTGCATCTACATACTGTGCTGCTTTTGCTCCTCCCTCTGAAGATATTTGCACACAATTAATGTGTTTATGAACTGGCATTAATGAAGAAATTCAGTGTCTGATATTTCTGGCTCTGTTTTTTCTTTGGCACACTACACGTTGGGTCAGATCCTACAGCCTGTGCAAGAGCTCTGGAAGGCCTCTGAGGCAGTGGAGCCAGCATGATTCCCTCTTGCCAGGGGAGTCCAGTGCAGGGAGACTATGCTGGTCTCTAAAGTTCCTCAGAGACTTTTCTAGTCTTGACTCCCTCTAAGCAGCATAGTGCTGCCCACCACAGCTCTCTCTCCACACAACTGCACTGTGTGGTTGGGTGGAGTCAACAGTTCTGTGACAAAGTGCACTCCCTGTTCAAAACACCAGTGGAGGTCCAGGAGATGTCACTTCCCTCACCTCCCATAGAAACACTATGCAGAGGATTGTTACGCAGCTCAGGATCTGGCCCTTTGTCTTTACTAACTGTAATAGGGCAACCCAAAGGGCCTCACCTAGAGAATTCTTTAAAAAACAAAACCAAAGCTTTTCACTCTGAGTGGCTTCCCTGCTTTGTCCAAGGCTGAGTCCAAGCATAAACCACTTGGGTTTATGATGATGCTATCTGTATTGCAATAGCACCAGGTGTCCCAGTCATGGACCAGGACCCCCCCGGTACAAACACACATTTGTGGAGTGTCTATACTAGCATTTACAATCCTGTTTGTTAACTCAGGTTAATTAGCAATCCAACTCCAGTCTAGACAAACCCTAAGGTCTCTCTCTACGCTCATTTGCATCAAAATAACTTTTTGGATTTTAATTCACACCTTTAGTGATTTCTGTGTAAGTCTGTGTGCTTTTATTATGGAACAAAAGCACTGGGGAAAAAATCAAAATCAGGGCACCCTACATGCTGCTGTTTGTGTCCTGGGCAAATGCAGCTCTGTGCTCTCTCATGGACTTTACTTCAGTTCTTGGTTTCCCTTCATCTAACAAATCTCTGGTTATTCTTTATGAATGGAAACACCTAGCATACACCATCAGTAAGTGGCACCATCGCAGGGGTCTAGCACAGGGAAGCAAATGAAGAGCAACAGTGACATTTGGTACAAGGAGGATGAGGATGTGATCTCTCTCTCTCCTAGATTTTGCATCAAAGAAACTTTCTGACATTACTTTGAATGGAGACAGGTGCCACTTTAGCAGGACCCAATGCAGCCCTGTCCCCTTTCTGCCTTGGAGCCAGGTTTTCAAGAGAGACCAGAACACTGGTTGCCCAAGGGGAGCAGAGGCCTTTTGAAAGTCAGGGACAATGAAAGTACATGTCTGAAATAAACAAAGTGATCAAACCAACAGAAAAAGCTAATTCACAAGAGGATAAGGACAGCATGGCATCTGCACACGAGCAAGGGAGAAAAACTCTGTCTGGGGTATAAACTTCAAAGAATATATTTCAAAGGTTCACTGCTCTTTAAAAAGAAGGGGAGAGAACCCCTTAGTTATTCATCATGTAGCGGACTTAGGGAACTCTGAGTCTGTGAATGTTGAGTCGCATGGCCAGAAGGGCTAGAGATACTGGTAGTTTTATGTGAGAAAAGGGATTGTAACTTGCTAGGATAAAGTTGTAGTAGCTAGAAAGTGGGTTTGGTTGGGTTTGGTTTGTAACCAGATGTGTCCCAGATCTCAGATGTATCACTTTAATTTCTGTTCTTTGTTAATAAACTTACTCTTAGTTTTACAATAAATAATTTTAGTGCTGTTTTGTTAAAGTGATATGTGCGTCCAGGATGGTGTGTGCTCTGTTTTTCTGGAGGCAGCGAATTTAATAATTTCTGCAACTGTCCATTGAGAGGGACTGGACACTGAGACATCTCTGGGGAACTGGGGTTCACTGTTACCAGCAAGGCAAGATTTGGACTGGCAGTGTCTCAAGGGGTTTTCTGGTGAGGTGGACAGACTTGTGTGGCAGAGAACTGACACAGTCTACTCTCCAGTAAAGCTAACACTTGCTAAATCAGACGGATAACACAGTGGTTTACAGTTCTTGGTGTTCTGATCAGAATGACACAATTTGTGTGTCTGACCAATCCCTGCTTCAAGGTGTGGGCACCGCCCATTCCCACTGTGCCATGTGTCTGACTAGCCCAGTGTGCAGGGTGTGGGCACTGCCCATTCTGAGTGCACTGCGTGTCTGACCAAACACTGGCCTGGGGTGTGGGCACCTTCCATTCCTAGCGCACTGCGGCTGATCAACCACTATCCTGGGTTGTTGGTACTACCCATTCCCAGAGCAACGTGTGTCTGGCTGGCCGTTAAACTTGTCAGGCAGGGGACTCTTTGGTTTGTGGAAAGATAAGCCAAAGACACCATGGCCTGTTGTGCAGCATATTTTGGGCCTGCAGTGCAGCCAGCTACATCAGCTAGGTCTGTAAGGAACCCGCTATTTCCAGCAGGGAAATATTGGCCTGGGATGGATCCATACTAGCTGCCAGTCTGGACCCTCTGTCAGATTTTGTTTTCCTTTGGTCCGCTCAAACTGCCAGAAGACTGGGTCATTGGTGGTCTGACTTAGTGGGCAAAGCAGCAGCCAGGCCTAGTAGATGGAGCAGGGCCAAATTAACCTTTTGTGGGCCTGGCGCCAAACATATTTGTGGGCCCCCATGGAGGCAATGGAGCATGGAGGTCAGTCCCTGGAGCAAGGGGGCAGCCAAAGGCAATGGGGCATGGCATGGCAGGGGCAGCCTCGCTCCGCCCAATGCGAGGGCACTATTTACAAACTGGCAGTTGCCAGATGCACAGTGGTCTGCCCAGCCCTGTGCTGCCAGCATGCTCCTTCCCCTCAGGGGGGCCTATGCCACCACCACCCCCCCCCCCCCACCTCCCTATCATAGAATATCAATGTTGGAAGGAACCTCAGGAGGTCATCTAGTCCAACCCCCTGCTCAAAGCAGGACCCATCCCCAGACAGATTTTTACCCCAGTTCCCTAAATGGCCCCCTCAAGGGCTGAACTCACAACCCTGGGTTTAGCAGGCCAATGCTCAAACCACTGAACTATCCCTCCTCCCAGAGGCCCCCCCCCCCAATCCACCCACAAATGTATAGCGCCCTGCACACCAGCATCCCTGCCCTCAGCCCTACCACAACTGCCCAGCACCCCCCCCACAGAACCCTCACTACCTAGTGCCCCAACACACAGAGATCCTCTTCGCCCCTTCACAGCCCAGCACCTCCCCGCACCATACTCCCCACAGACCTACTCCCCCAAGCCCTGCCTCCCAGCTGCACTCACCAGCCCTGCTGGGAGGCGACTGTGTCTGCCGGGCTGAGCCAGCAGCGCAGCCAGGCTTGGTCCCAGTGCCGGGAATCGCTCTGGACCCTCAGGAGTGGCGCAATCAGCTAGGCCAGGGCCTGCCCCGACCGGGCTCCCTCAAGATCCACTTGCCTGGAAGGGCCCAGCCACTGCCCCCCCCCCACTCTCCCAGGCTGAGATTGGCCAGGCTTCTGCACCAGTCCCAGGCGGCTCAGCTCCGGGGAGACAGGTGAGGTGCCACAGGTGGTGGGAAGCAGAGACTGCCCAGAGCTAGAGGTGCACTGGGGTCCAACCAGGGGGCTGAGAGGAGCAGGGATTGGGGCCAGGGAGTGGAGAGGAGCCCTCAGCCAGCTCACAGGCAGGCCGAGAGGAGCAAGAGGTGGGCCGGGGGAGCCAGTGGGGTCTCAAGGCACACTGCAAGCGGAGCAGGCCGGGGCCCCTTCTGAGCATGGGCCTGGCTTTATGGAGCCAACGTAAACCTGGCACTGAGGTGGAGCAAGGGTCAGAACCCGAGTTAAGAGTCTGAATGCTAGAGCCAAGGCAGCATCTGAATCAGGAATTGAAGCCATGGGTCAGAACAAAAGTATCAGAGGGGTAGCTGTGTTAGTCTGAATCTGTAAAAAGCAACAGAGGGTCCTGTGGCACCTTTAAGACTAACAGAAGTATTGGAGCATAAGAACAAAAGTAGGGGTCCAAATACCAGATTCAAGGGCAAAACAGTCAGGAATTAGAAGCTCGGAACAGGGTTATCTGGGGCTGGGATAGGCCTGGGACAGGAGCAGGGCAGGGTCTAGGCTACAGCAGTCCAGAGGAGCATAGGGAGGTATGTATTATTATGCAGTTAGCAAGCTACTGCTGTGTTTAAGAACAGACCTGTTGGCTTCCTCAGCCAATCAGGACAAGTGGGACAATATGTCAAGTGGCCTAGCTGGTGCAACCCAGCTGTGCTAGTTAGGCCAGCAGGAGAGCAAGGCATAGTTGTGCAGCGCCTTATTCCTGAGACGCTGGGTGCTGTGCAGGGTCCTGTGCCCCCACACTGAGCGCTTCACCGTGTCTTACCACCCCAACCCTGTGCAGTGTCCTGCCCCTCCCATGCGCTCGGCGCTGTGTGGTGCTTTCCCCCACGCTGCTTTCTGCGCAGAGGGCTCACCTACTAAGTGCTGGGCAGTGTCCTGTCCCCAACCCCGCCGTGCACTGCACAGTGGGACCCCTCCGCCGCCGGGGGCAGGGCAGGAGAGGCGCGCGACTCGAGTCCCGCAGCGTGGTTAGATCGCAGGCGGCCAGCGAGCCGCAGCTATTGGTGCGGAGGACGGCCGCTGGCTGTGGGAATTGGGGGCGGAGCGTGACTGTAAGGGGCGCGGCTCGGGGGCGGGGAGAGGCGCACGAGCGCTGCGGTAGCAGCTGCCCTTTGCCCACAGAAGAGGCGGGGACGCGCATGCGCACTGTGTATCCACTCCGTAACCCGACTGTAGCTGCTGCCGGGGTCGGTGCTTCACCCGTCACAGCGGCTCGGGGCCTCTTCCCCCCCCAGTCCTCTCGTGCTGCTGCCGGGGCCACAGGGGCAGCAGCCTACCCAGCGCAGGCGCTAGAGTCCGCCGGGCCCCGGGCTCTGCTCATCGCTGTGCTATCTGCGGGCGGGCGTTAGCCAGCGTCCCAGCGCGCCTCTTCGGAAGCGGCTCCTGCGGCCAGCCGGGGCGAGCCTGAGGGAACGAGCCCGGGCGCAGCCGCTGGTGCTTGGCTGGGCGAGGTGGAGGTGCCGGGTGAACTAGAGATGGAGCC